TTTGATATGGTATCTTTTAAGTTTTAGATACATAGATACAAGGTATTTATACACAAATACTATCGCCGCCATTAATAGCTCCTGCAGACAGAACGCAGCAACACTTGCCGTGCGGCGGAAGTTGGCGCGATAGCCAATCAACGTCTTGCCATTCAATTGTCGATAATGTCAGCGTTCTTCAATTACCTCCGGGCCTTATCTGTGATAATTTGCTCAGATGCAAATTTGCCCAGGGCAATTTGCGAGAAACTCCAGAAATCTAAATTAAAAAGCAATGAAATTGAGTTTCTAGTTGAATATGTCACCGTAATGGGACCGATCGAAAAGTCTTTAGATTTCCTGCAAAGTGAGGACATTTGCTATTTAGACTACGTAATTCCTACCTTACTTCAAATTAAAAAAACTTTAAATTCACTAAGTCATCTAATTTACTGCACACTGCTCAAAAATGCTATTCTTGATGGTATACATACAAGATATAAGGATATTTTGGACCTAAACAACAGTAAATCCAAACCCTACATTTTGGCAACGATTTCACATCCAAAATTTAAATTGAGATGGCTGAATAATAGCGATGATAAATACAACTCAGTCAAAACTTTATTTTTATGCGAGTGTAAAAAGTTGTACCGACGGGAAGTAAGCACAAATAAGGAGAAGAACTCTTCAATGAGTAGTGATGATGAAATTGCTTTCATAATTTCATCAAGAATTCCAATACAAATAATTCAATAGAAAAGCAAAACGTTGTATAAGTGGAATGTTTACGCTACTTTGAAGATAAAAGCGAGACGTTGATTCGTTACTAAATTATAATTTAATTCAAAAAGTATTTAGACAGTATAATACTATTCTGCCGTCTTCAGTACCTGTTGAAAGACTTCAACAGGTGGCCAAATTTTCAGTGCAGGTGGCCAAATTTTAACTCCAAGAAGAAATCGATTTTCCGACGCAATGTTTGAAACTTTATTAATGTTAAAAAAACGAAATAGCGATGTACAACATTACAAAGTTATGTTTTGTAGTCTCTATGTTTTTTGAAAATGTTAGAAAGATCTCTATATTTTTTTTAATATATGTGTTCGAGATATTTTTTTATATATTAAGATAAACAAATAACGATAAAATGTAATATTTAATTTACATTGCTTATTATTTATTTTCTCCTGTTTTCCCCCAATTTTTCTTCTTTTTTTTTTGTTGAAAGTACCTAAGAAGTATCTAAATTTTCAGATACTTTTTATTTATATCTGTATCTATACTTAGGTAATCGTAAAATAATGTATCTATACTTATTATATATCTAAATACTTTTCCCACACAATATCTATATCTATATCTAAATACCTTTCAAACGGTATCTGTTCCAACACTGGTAGAGTAGTATACTACCGACATTACCTGCATTATCAGATATGCACTGACGAAGTTACTGGATGGATTTTGCACATCGTATTTCTGCGTGTGTGTAAATTTCAGTAATGCGTGTTGCCCCCGCGTTGTTCGATTACTGCTTGCAGTCGATTCCTCATATTAATGCAGACCCTAATTTCTTCCTGTGGAATGTCATTCTAGATTTGTATTAGAGCTTGTGATAAAGTCTTTGAGATTGACAGGTTGTCTTGACAAATCTCTTAATCTATGACCCATTATCTAATACAAATCTGGAACAAGATGTGCAAAATCCATCCAGCAACCTCGTCGTGATGCATATCCGGTAATGTCGGTAGTATATCTAAAAAATGTGAGGGTAACTTTAAGGTAGTTATATTGCATAGCGGCTTGTGGCAAAGGGGGGGAGGGGTACCAGCGCATGACGGCACTGTTCGGTGGTAAAAAAAAATTACTGTTCAAAAATTGTTGCAGATCGCAATTTTTGAACAATAATTTTTATTTCCTTACAGTAGTTTTTATTTCCTCACTGTGTGCCGGTATTTGAGAATGAGTTGATAAGCGACGTGGATATTAGTGAAGTAGTAAAGTAACTCTTTCTAAGGCTTTATAATTAATATTTGCTTGTGTGGTTACCACTCCCCATTTTCTTTGGTTTAGAAGATTCGTATTATATTTATCTGCAATTTTTGAGCGAATTTCTAAATGCCGTTTTTGCGCTATAATTGAAAATGTAGAAGAAAGTCTCGCCGATACTGACATAGGTCTCTTAAAGTGACACCCCCTTATTTCTCAGAAACTAACTATTGCACTTTATTAATACTAATAAAATCATGATCTGTTTAGCTAATTAAAGAGAAGTACTCATAATTCATATATTTGTAGCTTATTTCTATACCAAATCAGCTAAAAACCAATTCTATGAATCCGAGAAGAAAATTCTTACGGTGTTCTTTTGCAAATTGCGTAATTAAAATAATAGTCACTGTATTATTGATAATATTATGTCATCGTAAATGTTTATAGTTTCATAAATTAGTTTTCTTTACAGAATAGGATATATCTTTATTTATAGAATAGGAATGTTGGTATTACTGCCTACTATGTCAGTTTTGGAGCCCACTTTGTCAGACGCTCATTTTTGTATAACTTATGAAAAACTTAATTATTGCAAAATTGCAAACAGTATTATAAAAATTGCTTGTACTATCTGATAGAAGATACTTTTTACTTTGTATTTATGTTTTTGAAGTTGTATTTTTACCTTTTGTTTAAGAAATATTGTCTAAAAACAAAGTGGTACTATGTCGGTATCGGTCCTTCCTCTATTATTGCTCCTTGTCTGGCACAGGGAACTCCTTGTCTAGCACATATTAAAAGTACTAACTTCAAATGCAATTATCTGAACGTGCCTGATTATCCCCCCCTCCTCCTCTCAAAATGATACGTATGTATAGAGAATATATTCAAAAGCTTCAAACAAATTTTAAGAAAAGTCATTTTGCGATACAATCACCTTAAAGTGCTATAACTTTGCGAAAAAAAAGTTGCAACTCAATTTGGTTTTTAAATTAAAGAAGAGAGTTCGAACTTTATGCCGCTACAAATAGTATTCCTCATCAGAAAAATTTTACAAAGTCCGTGTATTCCGTCAAACTTTTCAATTTTCAATATGACAAACACACCCACATATTTTGAAAGTTATAGTGGCAGGGGTGCATTAAACTTGAAATCTGGTCATAGCGTCTTAAAGTAGAGCTTTCAAACTTTATTTAAATTAAAAACTTAATTTTTTAAAAAGTCATTATCCTACGATAATTTGTCGTAAAGTTATCGTCAATCAAAGTTGGCCAATTTTTGCCTAAAATTTTTCTATGCCATAATTTTTTTGAACAGTAATGTATATATACAACGTGTTCAGCATAACAGTCCACACTTTTCGGACATTTCCAACAGTTTAAAAAAAAATTAAAAAAGGTGAATATTTATTTCTTTTATACAGACTACAACATGCAATAACAAAATATTAAAAAAATTTTTTTTTATAAAAAATCAGTCATCTTAAATTTTTTTAATGATACCATATAATTTTTTCCATAATATTGTAGGAGTCTTCAAGACGAATTTAAATTATTACCGAAATGTCTTCTTTATTAATGTCGTATTGATTTTTTATTGCATATTTTATTAAATAAGAGCACATAACATGTATGTATCATCCATTAGCAAAGAATACTATTATAAGCATAAATCTACAATATTATAGAAAAAAAATTGTATGGTGCTATTTACAAAATTTAAGATAACTTTGATTTTTTATTAAAAAAAAATTTTTTTTAATATTGCATGTTGTAGTTGTATGAAACAGATAAATATTCACTTTTCAACTTTTTTTTTAAAGTGATTTATGGTTATAATAGTATTTTTTGGTAATGGATATTTATGATACACATACATATTATGTACTTATTTAATAAAATATGTAATAAAATCAATATGACACCAATAAAGTAGACATTTCGATAGTGATTCGAATCCGTCTTGAAGACTTCTACAATATTATGAAAAGAAATTGTACAGTGATATTTAAAAAATTTAAGATGACTTTGATTTTTTATAGAAAAAAAATGTTTTTTATTGTATATTGTAGTCTGTACGAAACGTAGAATAAATATTCACCTTTCAACTTTTTTTTAAACTGTCGGAAGTGTCCGAAAAGTCGTGCGACCGTTACGCTGAACACTGTGTGTGTGTGTGTACACACTTAGTTTATCATTACTATCGAATTTATATACTGTTGGATTTTATAAATTTTCAGTATAGTCATTCTCAAATTTTAGTGTTAATCTATAAATGTTTGTCATTGCATCTAAATATGATATCTATCTTTTTAACTTTAGAGAGCTTCTTAATTAATGTAATCTCTACTTGTTACATAGAATTCATCCGCACACACGCATGCACACACAGTGATGGATTAACGTATAAATAAACAAGGCACTTGCTTAAAGCGAAATAAAGATAAATTTATGGTGGCGGCATTTTTCAAGACAAAATTCGCACACCTGAGATGAATTTTTAATTTTAATTTGTTAATCTAACATTTTTGCACCGAGCATTATCAGAAACGATATTTTAAATATACAGTTAAAAATGTATTATATTTATATTAACAGAACACTAAATATATAAAGCTCACTTGTATCAAAACAATGTAAAAGTAACACAAGGATATATGAGCAAAAGCCAGATTACAATTGCTAAAATACATAATTATATTTCAAATAATATAAAATAAAACATACATTTCGACCAAACAATTAGATCATTATCAATGTCGTTCCGATAAATATAACAATAGTTACATCCTAATGTATACATTCGCAATTCGTTAAACGATTTATATTCTAACGACTATAATTACATACAGTTAATCTAGTTAAATAAAATAAAAAGGAAATACGCAATTTAATGCACGAAACCTGCATGTTCTCTCTATTTTCATAAATGTCAGTCGGTGTAGAATACATAATTGAAAGAGAGGTCGCACTATTAGCTTGGAATTCAAAAAGGATTACACAATATTGCTATAGTCATTTGTTCATGAGAATGTCTTCATAAGAATCTTCTATGTTTGCGAATTAGAAATGTCCATTGCAATCTGATGGAAGTTACAAAATCAATGTAATGCTCGGATTGGTTCTTGTTAAAAACTTTTGTATAGACGTTATGCTTTAAAATGCTGTTAGTTGTTGCAATTGTTGCAAGCTAATTGTACGACCTCTCTTTCAATTGTGTATTTTACAACGGCTAACATTTATGAAAATAGAGAGAACATGCAGATTTTGTGTACATTAAATTGTGTATTTTCTTTTTATTTTATTTTAACTAGATTAATTGTATGTTATTGGGTGCAGTCGAGTTACCGCTACGAATGCTTCGAAGCATTTTTTTATTGGTCAGTTAGTAAAATTCTTTCTTCCGATTGGTTAATCAAATGCTTTGAAGCATTCGTAGTGGCAATGCGACCACATCCATTATAACCATTAGAATATAAATTGTCCAACTTGCGAATGTATAACCATTAGGATGTAACTATTATTAATTGTTATATTTACCGGAACAACATTGATAACGACCTAATTATTTGGTCGAAATGTATGTTTTATTTTATTTTATTTAAAATGATTTATTTAATATGATTATGTTTTAGCAACTGTAATCTGGTTTTTGCTCCCCTACTGAAAAAAATCATACAGTTGCATGATGAAATCATGTAATTAAAACACGTAAATCATGTAACGGATTGTTCCAAATCAGTACGTGATTTTTTAAAATTACGTAATTTGAAAATCACATGATATGTTCTTTTTTCTTCTATTTCTATCATTCAATTCTTTAAAATTTGATAACTGTAAAAAAGTACATGAAGGATAAAATTATTTCTAATATTATGTGATTTTTAAATTGATTACATCATTTAAAAAAAATCATGTACTGATTTGGAACAATTTGTTACGTAATTTGTATGTCTTAATTACATGATTTTATCGTGTAACGTCGTGCATGATTTTTTTCAATAGGGTCATATACTTTTGTATTACTTTTACATATTTATATAACTTATTAAGAATTATTAAATGTTTTTACCACCTAATGCGAGGTATAAATCATTTTCCCTTTTATCAAATTTATAAATTAATGAAACCACTTGGGGGCTAGTTGCCTAGGGAAAATGCTTAATCCATCACTACACACGCACGCACGCACGCACGCATGCATAAATACAAATACAACTTTTACTTTGCAGAAATGATTATCACACAGTGTTTACATATAAATTTCCTCAAAATCTAACGAAACATGTTAAATAAACATTAGATACTTAGGGGTCGATTCTGTAACTCTTAAACGACAGTCGTGATGTCATGTTGCGCAGCTTTTTTACTCTATATAATATCAGCGCAACGACATCAACGACTGTCGTTAAGAGTTACAGAATCGAACCCTTAAATATAAAATTTTTGCTAAAACAAAATCAAGAGTAATGTACATTGCACATAAATACGATAGTCTTATAATGATAAAACATTAATCAACCCTCAATTTAATATTTTCTTATACATAGAAGGACAAATTAAAATCAATTTTTATTTACACGAGTATATCGGAATAAGTAGACAAATATAGAAATGGTAGATGCAAAGCACACAAAAATACGTAAATTTAAGCAAAATAAAAACTATTACGAAAGAAGCATTCTTAGAACAATGCATTACGACAGATGTCAATTTTTAACAATAAAAAAATAAGAATTATTATTTCAAATATTACAATATTAACTTTGTAATCAAGTTTACTTTTAACGAACTATACTTGATTATGTTTACGTTTAATAATTATATATGTATGTACAAGTATATATATTATTTTATTTACATATACGGACATTTATATACGTGATACATTTAAAAAGAAGTAACGTAAAGAATTGTTTCTGTGTCAAAGAGACAGTGAAGAATATTTAAACTAGTAGCCTAAATCATACCAGACACGTCGAACTTGGATTATTTGATGGTTTTACATTTACCTGTCATTTGGTCGGACATTTTTCCTGTCGCCCAACCTAGGCTCCTTTCCACTGCCATCTTCCATTTCTTATACCTCGCGTCCCTTTCTACAAAAAAAGGAAAGATATAGCAAAAGTTGCATCGTAACCGCATATTGTATATTTTCAGAAAAATAAGTCATGACATTGTTAAATTACTCAATTCGAAAGTTTACCTTCCGGTGTAGTAGTTGGAAGAAAAGTGTCGGTTGGTACTGTTTCTACTTCTTCGCCTTCCAGATCCCAAACATCTATCCCTTCAGCATGTCCGGCAACCATCGCTACACCTAAAGCCGTGATGTCAGACATAGTTGACCTAACTATTAATCGAAACAATTAATTTCCAAAAAAAATAGAAATTTCTACGATAGGAATTAAAATAAAATATTATCACATTAGAGCTATATTTCTAGTTCATAAATGCTGCCAATATACTTACATACTGGTGTACCGCATAAATCGGCTTGCAATTGCATAAGCAGATTGTTAGTTGACATTTTCCCATCTGTATTTAACTTCGTTAACGGAAATCCGCAATCTTTGTACATCGCTTCAAGGATGTCCCTGGTTTGAAAGCATACTGCTTCGAGGGACGCTCTAATTATGTGTTGCTTCGTAGTAAATGCAGTAAGTCCACAAATTATTCTGAAAGAAAAAAGTAGATCTTTTTCAAATATACCTACTAACTCTCATTTGACATTATAACCCAAACAACACAAAGTCTAAAATTATGACATAAGGTACGTCTTTAATAAGGTACGACTTACATAAAGTAAGTCGTCTTTCAGACGCAAAGACCGTCTTGTGACCTGATTTTTTGTCTGGGAAACTTTTGATTGAACAAAATATTTCAAAAACATTATAACGTTATATTTATAAAGTTATATTTAATAAATTACACATGCATCATGTGTAATTTATTAAATATAACTAACTTTATAAATAATTGAGGGACTGGATTCTATAAGAGGATACGCGTGGATTTCGCGGGATAATTATTGTCCGCAAGGGCTAATTTTGAACATCGCTCTAATTTCAATTTTGACGACTGATTCTTGTAGAGAATTTTATAGCGCATCTTTTTTGTGTTTAAAACAAATTTGTAATTTTTTTGTTTTCAAGTTATAAACAAAAAAATCGTTTTTTAATGAAAAAATTTCAATAGGTTTTTGTGTTCAACTCGCTATATCTCAGCCAAATATAAATATTTTTCTTTGAAATTTTAACAGGATAAACTTCAACATGTTTCTCGAAATACGAAGCATGTAAAAAATGTTTCGAAACATTTTACAGCCAAATGCCGAATTTTTCAAAATATTCCTCTCGAATTCGTAGTTTTATTCATTCAATCACAAAAGTTATCGTACGAATTTTCGATTTGTCAACTTTTACCGATACTACAATTTTGTTTATTAGTTAAGGAAGTTTTTTGGAAAGTTTTAGCTTTTTAAATATTATGGTTGTAAAGTAATAATGATTTATGTCCGATTACTTAGCGCGCTGCGCGCAACACGAAAATTCGAGCCGTTCGCTTCCGCAAAACAAGGGTATCAATGGCTGTTTTCCAGCTAGGACACAGAGACGTTACACTGTGTTCCACTGTGTAAAGTACTTGTTGGAACGTAGTTTAGTTTCATAGTGTAACACCAGAACGCATTACAGTTTTCTATTCTATTCTTATAATTATACTTAGCGTATCAATAATAGATTTATGATTTTTATTTAGACTTAAGTTATAATTTTTTCAGAATTAGCGATTTTTGAAGGTTTTATTGCAAAATAAGTACAGCTACCAAATAACTTTTTGAAAAGTTGGTAACATTGACATATTTTACACGTTCGTACTTAGCTTTTTACTGTGTCGGGCAGTGTAACACTGTGTCATAGTTGGAACACCTTGTGTAAGACACAGTGTTACACTAGGCCTGTTCTTTTTGGCTGAACTTTTGCATTAGTTCATCTTTCTTCCTTTTCTCGCCAGGAAGAAAGAAGAGAAAGAAAGATGAACGAGTGCAAAAGTTTAGCCAAAAAGAACAGGCCTACTGTGTCACTTTGGTACGTTGTTGGAAAACACCCAATGGCTGCGTTTAGCAGACTCAACAGTTAAATGAACGCTCGCTATTGATGTATTCTTCTAGATCTAAATCTAGTTAGACGATCAAAAAGAATACACCAATAACAGTGAGCGCTCACTCAATTGTTGAGTTTGCTGAACGCGGCCATTAATGCACACATCAAAACATAATGCACACAGTTACAAAATAAGAATTAGAGTACCATATCAATAAAAATCGTCAATAAAAATAATTTTTATTGACAATTTAAAAAATTATTTTTATTGACGATTTTTATTGATATGATACTCTAATTCTTATTTTATAACTGTAAACAATAAAGAAGTTGAAAAAGATTTTGGGAGTCCTTAAGTATATTATGTTTTGATACATTATTGATACCCTTGTTTCGCGGAAGCGAACTGCTCGGACTTTCGCGTTGCGCGCAGCGCGCTACGTAATCGGATCGACATATAAATCGTTACAACCATAATATTTACTTTACAACCATAATATTTAAAGAGCTAAAACTTTCCAAAAAACTTCCTTAACTAATAAACAAAATTGTAGTATCGGTAAAAGTTGACAAATCGAAAATTTGTACGATAACTTTTGTGATCGAATAAATAAAACTATGAATTCGAGAGGAATATTTTGAAAAATTCGACATTTGTCTGTGAAATGTTTCGAAAATTTTTTTTATGCTTTATATTTCAAGAAACATGTTGAAATTTATCCTGTTAAAATTTCAAAGAAAAATATTCATATTTGGCTGAGATATGGCGAGTTGAACACAAAAACCTTTGAAATTTTTTCACATTAAAAAAATTACTTTTTGTTTATAACTTGAAAATAAAAAAATTACAAATTTGTTTTAAAGACAAAAAAGATGCGTTATAAAATTCTCTACAAGAATCAGTCGTCAAAATTTAAATTAGAGCGATGTCCAAAACTAGCCCTTGCGGACAATAATTATCCCGCGAAATCCAAGCGTATCCTCCCCTTATAGAATCCAGTCCCTCAATTTCAGTTTCTACATTGTTTATATCAACAGAATAAAAACTTAATAAATAGTCCGAGCAATTTTTATAAAATTCTACCAACCCCCTTGCATCTTTTCTCCAATAAGGTGCATATAACCCTGTGAAGGCGGGTACAAAGTAGACGTCTCCCGTACTAAATACACTTTGAGCTAAGTGTTCACTTTCATGAACATCTTTTATGAGCTTTATATTATCCCGTAGCCATTTTATAGCTGCACCTGCAACTGCAACTGAACCTTCCAATGCGTAAACAGGTGGACTTTTCGGACCTAACTGATATGCGACGGTCGTAACTAATCCATGAGAAGAGTATACTCTCTGAAAGAAATACGTAACGGATAATACAGATGTTTTGGAAATCGTAATACAACCAGGAAGAAGGTGATTCTTTATGTAGAAATAAGTTGAAAATACATATTTAGTAACATTTTTTTACAGAGAGCTTTCAAAAAAATCGACTTTGAATATTTGTTAAGTACGCGTGCACTTGACTAGCCACAATCTACTTGGTTCACCTAATCTGACTATTTACCGCTATTTCTGTTTATATATAGGTATAGTTTAACATAATACCTACAATAAGTTTCAATAATATATTTATTTTATTAGAATTAGTTGGAAAATTGTTAAAAATATCGTTTTCGTGACAGATAAATTTTTATTCGACAAATTAAAGACACGTAAATTTATGGCAATATGTTACAATTCTTCACTTCTTGAAATGAATGCGTAATATTATCTCTTAATTGAAGATCAAACTCGATTTTCTTGAAAATACAGCTCTGTATGAAAAAATTTTATTGTATATTTTCGACTTACGTGAGAAATTACCTTCTTTTCGATTGCACTATGATTTCTGTGAAATAAATAATTAATAAAAGATTTAATATGAATGAGATTAAGAAGAATGAATATAATTAAAATTTTCTAAGCTTCTATATGTTTATGAATACTTAAGAATTACATACGGTATGCCCCGTGTTACACAGTAAAAAGCAGCCACTCCTATATGTATTTTTCGCTTGACCCTTCTTCAAACAATTTTGTCCGACCAAAGCAGATTGTTGATTTCCTAAAATCTAATAAAGAAAGAAAATGTAACAAAAAAATATTTTATATCTGTTATTTTCTGTTATTTTCATTACGAGATCTTGCGTACACCAGATATCGGAATGCCAGACAACGGACCAATCAAAATTTTGCCATATATCTCGGAACTGCTTTTGATCTCCGGCAGCATTTGGATAGGAATGTCGAAATATCTACATAACGTAGGATCCCACGAGAGCGTTTCAATATTCATCAACATCGTTCTCGACGCGTTCGTAACATCAGTGATGTATAGTCCACCGTCTTTGCCTCCCGTTAAGTTCTGCAATAATTTTTTAAATTAATTATACATTAATTCATATAGTTTCTCTCATTTTGAATTCGTGCGTGTGTGCGTATGTGTGTGTAAAGTATACGATTTTTAATTTCCTTAATCGGATACATATAAAAGAGTAAATTAAAGATTTAGAATTTGTGCGCTAATATATATTTCTCGAATATTATATATATAATACCTCAAATGTTATATATATATAAATAAGTTATTTAACATAACAATCCTTGTAATATACAGCAGTGTGCGCTGTCTAATATCGTCTAATGTTAACTACTGTCTAATATTAGTGATAACTTTCTCCCTCAATATACAGCAAGTATAAATATTAGTGAGTGTTAATTAATACACTAATTTTGGATAAGCCTAGTCAAGTTATACTCGTTAATTCTTACTAATGCCTTGCTAATATCTCTTCGTCACATACCCAAACAATCCATGTATCCATAGTTCCCACTTTGAATCGCCTCTCACGAATTGCTTTTTTTATCGCTGGCACGTTGTCCTTTAACCAACGAATCTTCAAAGCCGAAAAGTACGGGCTCACGGGCAAACCGCATAAAGGTTTCAAATGATTCTTACTCTGATCCGGAAACTTCGCTATAATCTGGTCTACAATCGCGTCGGTTCTGATGTCTGACCACACTGAAATCAATTACGTTTCAAAAACTCCTCGAATATTAATCAAACCACTTTAGATTCTATTTTTCTCCCTTCGTTTTTATTTCAAAAAAATTATATATTATTTTGAAATAAATTAATTAAAATATAAATGAGACCTTAGGTCTTTAATAAATGTTTAATATAAACCAGTCTTTTCAGATTTTTCTTGGATAAAAATAATTCTTTTTCGCAAATAGATTAGACACAAGCGAATCTATTCACCTATGGCATTATAAAGCGGATCGCCGGTAATCGCATCCCACACTATCGTAGTTTCTCTCTGGTTGGTAATACCCACTGTAACGATTTCGTCAATCTTCATACCTAGCATGTCCAATTTGTGAATTACATCCTTAATGCAGACCTTTACCGCAAAAAAAATCTCTTTGGGGTCCTGCTCTACACACCCCTCTTGCAAACTGATTTGTTCTATGTCAATTTGATGAGACGCAACCTCCGTGACGTGCTTTGCATTAAATACCTGCAGACACAATTCACAATAACCGTTGAAACAATGATTCGATAAAATTAAAATGCACGAATATTCGTAAAAGAAGAAAAATGATCTCTCAATAATAATAATAAAAAAAATATGAAAATTCAGACCTATAAGTCAGGCTAGTCAGAGTCAACGCAGGTCAAAGAGCGTAAGGAACTTCTTATAAAAAGAAAAATTTCTTCAATCAATTCGATGTTGTTGAATCATCTTTATTAAAAGTCTTGAACGTTTCGATTCTCTTTCGAATCTTTTTCAGCAATCATATTAATACTAATTTGGATTCTGCGACGGACGATATAGGTTACTCTCAGATTTCCTAAACTGTAGTAATATCTATAGCGCTCGCAAAAACCCCATAATGAAACTTTGGATATTGAATTAGTATTCGAATTAAATTATATATAATTAATAAAATATTCTCCTTTTGTTTGTTCGGAGTGTCGAGTATTAATACAAGTGTCGAACAGACAAAAGGAGAATATTTTATTAATTATATAATTTAATTCGAATATTAATTCAATATCCAAAGTTTCATTATGGGGTTTTTGCGAGCGCTATTATTACTACAGTTTTGGAAATCTGAGAGTAACCTATATCGTTCGTTGCAGAATCCAAATTAGTATTAATATGATTGCTGAAGAAGATTCGAAAGAGAATCGAAACGTTCAAGACTTTTAATAAAGATGATTCAACAACATCGAATTGATTGAAGAAATTTTTCTTTTTACAAGAAGTTTCTTATGCTCTTTGACCTGCGTTGACTCTGACTAGCCTGACTTTAGGTCTGAATTTTCATATTTTTTTATTTTGAGAGTCTACGATACATACAAATTGAATTTATATATTTTAATATTAATAAAACCTATATCATGTGAAAATATAATTAAAAAAAATTGTTTTTATTAATAACTTTTTTAACAATTACAGATAACTTTTAGAATTCGTGATTAGAATTTATTTTTATTTGCGTAATTATTTAAATAGCTTATTAGCAAATTAAACTTTTCAGAGACTCCGGAGTTTTAAGCCCGATCTACAATTGCGTAAACGTAGTTGTAAATGATTGTGAAATATTGTAAAGCGAAGTTTAACCTGCCATTCCCGGTTGTAAAGCATGTTGTGAAAGATAGTTCAACTTTATCTTTCATGACTACGACTGCGTAAAACATAAGAGTGAACCAATCAGAGTGCTGTCACATGTCTACATCGTTATTGTTCTTTTTGTCTCGACGTATGGAAAGAAGGGCAAAGTGTCCTTTTCATCTTTTATTGAGTTTATTTTATGATATATTATTTGACGAGTTTATTATATTATAAATATATTATATTACGAGTATGAAAGACGGAGAAAGTGTTGTGAACAATGTTCAATTTGAAGATGAAAGTTCATCATTGAATCTCTCGATTGTAGATTAATATGTTGTACAACATTTACTGCTATTACTACTCCCATAACCTTACGTCTACGTTTACGCAATTCTAGATCGAGCTTTACGATCACGATTTCACGAAAATCTGTTTGAAGAACACCGTCGTTATTATTTGCTATTCACGCAATCTATGTGTATTGCCTCTCATAAATCATCGTTAATTCGTTGTTGATCAGTTGCATTTTAGCTACATTTATTTATATGCATCGTTAACAGCGTCTTATATCATTTTTGGTTTTATTTATTACATTGACATTTGAAATTATTATTTATTTATCACGCTGAGAATGAGAATTGCGGAATCTTCACGACAGATTTCGGTAAACATTTAGAAGCGTGGCAAATTATAACTTGATAACTACTTGAGCTACTATTTACAATAATCTTACCACAAAGCGAACAGTGCGCGTGCCAACATCAACTACACCAACAAGGGGTCCTGTTTTTTTCACCGTGCTTGTCATTGTATCTAAAAAAAAATTATCATCGTCAGATAGTTTTTAATACACATTTAATAAAAATCGGAAAAGAATAAGAAGACGCTTTGTGCACTCGTGCTAAAAGTTGCGATACTAATAAACTCGAAGAAACATAATGACGTTAATCGAGATTAAAGACGTAACATAAAACGTATCATATTATAAAACATCATCTCATGTCATAAAGAATAAAAGATCTTTATCATAACAGCTGTTATATAAATTCTAAATATCTGTAGATAGTATTAAAATTTGTCTAAGTTACAAATTTTTTTTTCCTAGGTCGTTATTTATACGAGGGTCACTATTTATATTTTGAGCCTAATAATAAAAATAACAATAAAAAAACAATAATATGTCATTTATTGTTCTTCAAAATATTCTCCTTTATGATCTATACACTTTTGCATGCGTTCGAACCACTTGTCAAAGCATTTTTTCCATTCCGCTTGAGACACCTCCAAAATATGGTCTTTGAACGCATCAACGGCTTCTTCTGCCGACGAAAATCGTTGTCCACGCAATTTATTCTTGACGTTTGGGAACAAAAAGAAGTCATTTGGTGCCAAATCAGGACTGTACGGCGGAAGACCCATTAATTCGATTTTTTGAGTGCTCAAATAGTCGGTTGTTAGACGAGATGTGTGACAGCTGGCATCGTCTTGATGAAGAATAATCCGGCGGCGCTTGTTTGTTTTCCTTATTTCACTGAAGACTTCCTGCAAACAAATGGTTGTGTACCATTCAGAATTGACCGTTCTACGTTCCTCTAAAGGCACTGTTGCCACATGACCAGTTTTTCCGAAAAAACAGGCGACCATTTGTTTCGAGGTGCTTCGAGCGTGAACAACTTTTGTTGGATTTGGTTCATCTTGAAACACCCATACAGTCGACTGCTGTTTAGTTTCCGGCTCATACGCATAGATCCATGATTCGTCACCTGTTACAATCTTATACACGTCTTTTGAAGCACCACCATTGTATTTCTTAAGCATTTGTTTGGACCAATCAACACGAGTTACTTTTTGACATTTTGTCAGATTATGTGGGATCCAACGAGAACAAACCTTTTTCACGGCTAAATGATTATGCAATATTTCATATATGCTGGTGGAACTAATGCCCAAGGTTGTCTCAATCTCACAGTATGTCACATGACGATCTTGCATTATTAGTTTTTGCACAGCATCAATGTTTTCTGACACAACAACTGATTTTGGACGACCTTCACGACTTTCGTCGGTGAGCGAACGGCGACCACGATTAAATTCGTTATACCAGCGTTTCACAGTGGCAAAGGATGGGGCTTTATCGCCAAAAGTGGAAGTAAGTTGATCGATGCACTCCTGTCTTGATAATCCACGTCGAAAGTCGTAATAAATCATTGCACGAAAATTTTCACGAGTTAATTCCATTTTTTCGCTGAGACACAATTTTCAAGTGACTGTAAACAATACAAATCGCGCTCAAATAACAAAACGTTCTGAAGAAGGTTATGGTCAAAAATGTCAAACTTTCTAATGGAAACGTCCGATGGCACCTGACAACATTCAGTGTTGCCAAGGCTCAAAATACATATAAGTAGTGCCCCTCGTATACGTCCGTTATTTCAACTGACTGATAACTATCCACGACCGGTAAATTTTTACCAGAATAAGAATTAACTCTGCTAAGTATTTCAAAGAAAAAACTATCTTAAATTTCCATTGTCAGCTTAACTAGATATCTTCGATACGGTCTTCCAACCGTCATGTGAGCAGTCTTTTTTATTCTAGAAACAGCTTACCAAAAAGCGTTCTACTTTAAGAAGATGAAATCACATCTGTAATTAAATTTATTGAATTTCTGAAGAGGACTCGAACAGGTAGCCGAAACATGTCATTATCTTTAGGAAATATAAAATAATTTTACGCAACAAGTACTGCGGTTGGCTCTTTAATACCCTGTAAACTTATATCATTGTAATTATTTTTGTAATTGTTATTATTTAGAGCTCTTTATTATTGTATTAATAATTTAAAGATGTATTTCTTTTTTTCGTTCCTAGTTTTTTTCAATATTTTAACCGTTTTCGTTGCACCGTTAAAAAATGGACAAAATTTTCACTAAAATCGTAACCTTCAACTTCCGAGGACTATTATTTTGTTAAAAATTATTATTTAAAAAAAACCACAATTAAATAATAACGATATTTAAGATCAAAGTGACACCAAATTACTTGTTTCAGATGCCTACAAATAGAAATTTTATGTCAACCGTGAAGGATGGATTTAAAGAAAAGACTTTTAAATATAAATTAATAATATTCACTTAGAATAAATCAATATAAGTAAATAGAAAGGTTACAAGCCAGTTAAAAATAAATTAAGAACATTTAATGTTCCGAAATAAATATACAATAACAAACGTTTTGACGCCGATCGGGTCATTTTCAATATTAAAACAAATTCAAAAAATTATAATATTACATAAGTTATCGGATTCTCGGTTCAAAATTACAATATTATGGCGAATTCAATTGAAAGCACTAGTGCGCACTGATGCATATTAAAGACGTTGTACACTGATTTAATTTGAGTATAAAAATGAAATACAAATATTTCGAATTATGAAATACATATTTTACTTAATAGTACATTAAAATGTATTGAGTATTTCACGATTTAATCAATTCCTATGTTTATTTATAAATATCTTTACGTTTTTATTTCGTGTATGGCGGCTTTAATGTGCACCAGTGCGCACTGAGTGCGTCCAATCAAATTCGCTATTATTAGGTGTTAAACTTAATTCCTGCCGTTTTTTCGTCTCCAAAATTAATTTGTTTCGAAGGGAAGATGAATGAATACCTTAATCAAAGTAATTTCCTTCATTTTCTACTACTTTTTCCCATCTCTCTGGCAACAGGGCAATCCCACGACGGTAGAACGCGGTGTCTTTCGAGGCGATCCATTCATCCACCCATTTTTGGACTTCGTTGTGATTGGAGAAGTGTGTGTCCGTAAGTGCGTGTTGCATCGATCGAAAGAGATGGTAATCCGACGGTGCCAAGTCTGGAGAGTACGCTGGATGCGGGAGAACTTCCCATTCAAGCTCTAGAAGTGCCTGCTTCACGCTTTTCGCGACATGCAGTCGAGCATTCATGCAACCAGGGCCGACGACTATTGTGTTGAGGGTGTTGAGAACTCAACATCCAGTCGGTTATAGGGTGTTGTTTTCAACACCCTATTAAGGTGACAAAATGTAATGAATTATGTAGGAGATTTTATTAAGTATACATGTATTCTTTTCAATACTCATAGCATTTTCCACTGGCGCACTGAGTGGGCACTGAGTGTCACATTTCAAATTCTTCAAATCAAATTCGTTAAATCGAACGATGGGAAAGTGACGGTACGCGATTCAAACTGAATTTAAAAAAAATATTATTGTTATTTTAGGTAGCAAAATACTAATTTATTTAATTTGTTTATTTTAGACATAACTCCAAATTACACTTTTGACGTGTTTGACGGTGAAATTACCAGTGGAACACGAAACTTTTGGCACTCAGTGCGCCAGTGGAAAACGCTATCAATGTTCTGAGTATTTTCGCGAGAATTAGAGAATTTTCAAATAGGCCTATCGCCGAATATTGTGAGCCAATCCGCGCTTCGGAAAGATTTCTTCTCCATCGTCCGACCGCCCCGACTGA